ACCCCTTAAGGACCCAACAATGAGGTCCCTGGAAGCATCGGGTTACATCTTGGACTAAGCCCGAAGCCCCTAAACCCTTGTAGAACCCACAAAGCAACCCTTGAGGGAGCCATGGTTAAGGGTTGAGGGTTTAGGGAGAGGGTCAAAGGTTTAGGGTTGAGGGTTGAGGGTTTAGGGTTGAGGGTTTAGGGTTAAGAGTTTAGGGTTTAGGGAGAGGGTTAAAGGTTTAGGGTTGAGGGTTTAGGGTTTAGGGTGAGGAGTTTAGGGTTTAGGGTGGAGGGTTCAGGCTTGAGGGTTGAGGGTTTAGGGTGACTCATAGAGAACCTCTCACCGCCCTCACCCTAAGGGTCCAAGTGCCCAATAGTCATGTAGTAACGTACATAACTACTATCCGAAACCTAAGTACCTAATTATTGCGTCCTTTGGACCCTTGGGGTCATAGATGCCTTGAGGGCTTTGTTGTTGTGGCTCTCATGGAACCCAGACTCCAGGGGCGACTCGGTGGAAACCTCTACTGGACACCTGGAGGCTTTGTCAGTGCTCGTGTTCTTTTTTACGAAGGAGGTGTGAGGGTTAGGGTTCACCAGCCCAGGAAACGGTGTGAAACGCGGGCTTAGGGTATAAAAATGGTTTTGGCCTAGTACTGCTTGCATTGGTGGGTGGGGGGGGGGGGATCTGCTTCCACTTGTCGTGGGCATGGCAGTAACCGCGGCAGCCCTCGAAACCGCAAAAGTCGCAGCTTCAGAGATTCATGTGATTACCTCGGTTCAGGGTGCATTGATCTGCCAGCCTCTCAACCTATGTATATACACGTAGCAGCATAGACGGCACACACAGCAGCATAGGCAGCACATAACGACTCTAAATAGTAAACAGCAGTGTAGCCGACATGACGCTGGAGGGCGATGAACGCGAGATCCTGGAGCGCATCACCTTGGCGATGACGCTCAGAATCGCCGAGGAGCGGTGGTGCCCCGACACCTCGATGGAGAGCAGACTCCCGAAATCCTTCGAGATTGCGAAGACGGAGATGGAGGAGATGTGCAGCCCGAGAAGGAGGAAACCCAAATATAGCACCCCAAAAAGTAGGATCCTTATTATAAGGATCCCAAAATAGGGTACCCTAATTTTCCGAAACTCCCGTATATACCTGGAACGAGAAGGAGGAAACCCAAATATCATGGGCTCTTCATCGTCGGCTCCATGCTGCCAGGAACCCTTCGTCAAGGACCCAACGTTTTCGAATCTCCCGAAGACGTTGCTGTTAAGGTTGTTTTAGGGTTTAGGGTTTAGGGTTTAGAGTTTAGGGCCTAGGGTGGGTAAGCTTCCCTTTTCGTGAGGATCTCCTTGCAATGTTGCAAGGAAGCGTCTTGCTGGTGTTTTGGTCGTTTTTGTTTGATGCTGCTTGGGTCAAAGTACCATGTCGAATGTATTCCCACAAATTACCTGCCAGCCATCCTCCCTTAAACCCTAAACCCTAAACCCTAAACCGCTTTAGCTCTTGGGACCCTTAGAGCGACACACAGGTATTAGTTCTGCCCAGACCCCCAAAAGGATCTAAAAAATAGATCCCCTAATTAGGGACCCTAACTGCTAAAGGGTACTTTATAGGAACCCCCTTAGGGGATCTATTTCTTAGATCCTTTTGGGGGTCTGGGTGGTCTTTTCGGGTGGAAGGAAACCAGCCTGTCATCTCTTTGCGGTGAGAACTGCAGAGCACGGCTACCGGAAGCCCTAAACCCCTGAGCCAGAAACCCCAAACCCTAAACTTTGTCATAGTTGGGTAACATTTTACATTTTTAAGGGTACTTAAACCCAATAAGGAATATAAACTTAAATTTTTAATACTACCCCAACCATGAACTAGTAAAGCCCTAAACCCTAAACCCCTAAACCCGGAACCCCTAGACCCCAAGTGCTTTACATAAAGGAGATTACTTGGAGGGTCGGGGACTTAGTAAGTAGGTAATAAGTAGACTTACACGTACCCTACAAGGGAGACTAATTGGGGTTATAGTATACTCGTAAGTCTATAAACTAACTGGTTTTCTAAGTCCCCCGACTCTCCAAGTAAAGGATCCAAATGGCAGGACCCGAACGTCAAGTGAAGCCTGGCAGGGCCTTATAGGGCTTTAGGCTGTAAGGTTGGAGGCTCCGGATTTCGGGTTTAGGGTTTAGGGCTTTAGGGCTTAAGGGTTAGGCTTTAGGAGTTGGGGTTCAGGATTTCGATTATGTTCGGTGTTTGGCGTCTAGGATTCAGGATGCTTTAGGTTGAAGCCATACGTGGGGGGACTTAGTAAGTAGGTAATAAGTAGACGTATAAGTAACCTAAAAGGCCCTCTAATTGGGGTTATGATACTCTTAAGACTTAAGTCTATAAACATGAGCACTTACGCAGAGAATCCGGCCCCAATGTGTGCGGGCGGCTCGCTCCTCTATGTGCCAGAACGACGAGGCCTGCCAGGCGGCGAAATGGTGCTTGCAGGCAATGGTGGGCAGCTCCCGACGGCCGATGGTGCGAGCATCAATCCGGCCGGCAGGGCCAACTTCGTCTCGCGCCTTGATCTTGTGCGCCAGGGGGAATACTATTGCTTGGTACCCAAGGAGTCAGTGCCGCTGCTCAACTATGGTGAGTCGGACACGACAGAGAACGGCAATTACGGCCTGCACTGCTTGCTTCGCTGCTCAGACGAGGGACCGTTGGCACAGCCGTTTGCTTACCCAGTGGTGGACATGCAGCAGTACATTCGGTGCACAGGCTTGCGCGGGTTCTACGGGGTCATGCCGACTTCCGGTATCGTGGAGGGCAGGCTACACCTTTAGACTGCACCTCAACCCATCGGAGAATGTGCTCGGGAAGTCCGCGAGCACCAATGAACCTACTGTCTTCAAGGGGTTTAGGGTTTAGGGTTCAGGTGCTCAGGGTTAAGGGTTTAGGGTGGTAGGGTTTTGGGGTTTAGGAATTTAGGGTTAAGGGTTTAGGGACCCTAAACCCTAACATGGACCCTTAGGCTTCTTCGGGGGATTCTAAGGACCCCTCAATGGTACATATAAGGTGTATCATAGGTATATAAGCATCCCAGGCTCTTGAAACTTAGAATGAAGCAAGTTCTTAAAGCCCCAGGCTCGAGACACTGAGGAGCACTTTAGGGTGTAGGGTTTAGAGAGCTTTGTTGCAAGATGTTGGTTTGGGGTTTAGAGGTTTGGGGTTTATAGGGTTGCGGTTATATTTGGTGTTTATACACACTAAGTTGGAGCAGTCTAGCGTCTACGGTGACTGTACGTGGGGCTCCTTAGGAACATTGGTGGATGTAGATTTGGGATGTACCTGCTGGGTGCAGCTCCTACTTACAAATTAAATAAGGTAAGGGTCGGCAAGCAGCCTTCTAATTCACATTCCGAGATCGCTCCCACGATGGGTTTAGGATTTAGGCTTTCCCTGGACCTAAAGAACCTACCTTTTTAGGGTTCCCTATTATGATTTCTTTATATAAGTCCTTAAGACTGTGGGTTGTTTGGGGTGAAGGTCTTCCTTGAACACCAAAATGTCTTCCAACGGGTGGAAACAAGGCAATGGAAGAGATGAAAACCCTGGTTTAGGGTTTAGGGTTTAGGGTTTAGGGTTTAGGGTTGAGGGAAGGCAATGGAAGAGATGAAAACCCTTGCAAACCACTGCCGTCTCGATTTTTCTTCCCTGGAACCCCCTTGCAGCTCGCCAGGCAATGAGTCAATAGGCCCATCGGGCACCGCCGCCCACCGACTTCATCAGAAATTAAGCGCCAGGCGCCCAATGACAAATGTGGAGTTTTCGGGTGCACTGCCAGTGAACAAAACGCTGTGTACTGGAGTATGTGAGTTGTGAAGCATTCCCTAGTATGGCAAGGCGTCCATGAGCAGGGCGGGTTTGAGATATCCGGCATCAGTAGACATGCTCTCTTTGTAGCGGTTTGTTTCGCTAAACCCTGAACCCTAAACCCCAAGCCCTGTTTGTTTCTCCGAGTTCTCGCTAACATGCTTTCATCCGGAAGCACAGCCCGGGGGCCCCAGTATATCATTCACAAGCTAGGTAAATATATGGGGCCTAACAGTTAGAATAGAGGGTTCGGGTAAATTGCGAGTTATATTAAAAAAAGACCAATGAAACAGAAGTGGTAATGATTCAGGCATTTGTCTCAATTCGCCCCAATGTATCCGAACACCAAGGCTTGCGACATCAGAGCACTAGATGATGCTTGACTACTGGCCTTGTTTCGACACCCATCAAGACCTTAACTCGCCTAGGGTGTCCTCTCACGAATTTCACAACCACCTGAGTTTATCTAGAGCCTACACCCGAAACCCCTAAACCCTAAACCCTAAATCCTAAACCCTAAGTCCTAAACCTTAAGCCCTAAACCATAAACCCTAAACCCTAAGTAAGCTCTTTCCTTCGAGCGGTCCTCTGTGCGAATGTCTGATCCACAGATTGCAAAATGGTGGTTTCCGAAAATAGGGGACCCTAATCTTGGCTTTCTTCTGGTTGGCTCTTAGGACACCCTAAATAGTAGGATCCTTATTATAGGGACCCCAAAAGAAGGTACCAAACCCTAAACCCTAAACCCTAAACCCTAAACCCTAAACCCTAAACCGCTTATTTTCGGAAACGCCCAAATCAAGAATGCAAGGCTGACAGCTAGAGCTGATCTTCTTGCTTTCATGCCATTCCCTAGGGTTTAGGGTTTAGGGTTTAGGGTTTAGGGTTTAAGGATTATTGTTTAGGGTTTAGGGTTTAGGGTTTAAGGATTATTGTTTAGGGTTTAGGGTTTAGGGTTTAAGGATTATTGTTTAGGGTTT